CGACAGTGACCTGTTTCTGGACTAAACGCATATACACATCTACTGGTACATCTGTTCTCTTTCTTTTTCTTTTTCCTTTTCCCATTTACAACCACTTTTGTGCAATATATGCCAGGGACCTGTGCAATACATTTATATTTATATTTACATCTATGGTTACATCTATATTTATATTCATACGTGTGATACGATTTTCTGTGTACTGTTCTGTTCTAGTTTGCTCTTGCGTGTCCGGACTGTGAGTAACTCTTGTATTGCATTGTATGTATTGTACTATTATTATATAATTCGTTACACTGTGGCTGTGTTGTGTGTGTGTTAAGCTGCTGTTGCACTGCAATTTCCCTCACGGGATCAATAAAGTATCTATCTATTTGTAAATCTTATTTCTCAAATTTTGATTTCACATTTTCACACTATCTTTCACTCTTATACAGTATTTGTGTGTATGTATTGTATTTCTGAACACAAGATTATACCAGTGCTATTAAGGTCCCATACTGTCTGTAACAGAAAAGAAATGAATAATAATTTTTGCTTCAGATTTGGTTTAATTTTCTTTTTTTATTATTTCTTACATGTCTTGGAGAAATACAACACAACCAACTTACACCATATGGTTAAGAATTTCACTAACTTTCCAGGGAGATTTTTCAAAATCATTAAATAATTATTATATAATGAATGTTTAAAATGCCAAACATTTCTCTGGGAAATGCCTTGATTCAATGAGGGCTGGTAACTCTTTTTATTTCTGTAACCCATTTTATCTTAAAGTTTCTGCCAGTACTTCATGATGACCTTCTGTTTGTCAAAGGTTACTTGCTTCAATCAAACTTGAAAATGTTACTTCAAATTTCTTAGTGAACACCGAGAAGGATTAAAGTTTTGATTTAATCTAGTCTAGTGTGACTTCAAATTTAGAAAAAAAAATGATTTACAGTAATTAAGGTATTTGATCAATGTCATGTTTTCTTGGAAAATGACCTGTTTTCCAACTACAGTACCTTATACAGTCAAATTGATGTTATTAAGGTAAGGGATGTTGATAAAACCTAGGACATGTTAAAAAGTATTCTTAGTATTTAATGTGAATTTAATATAGGGCATGTGTTTCAAGAACTGACACATAATTAGTATCTTCTATTATTCTGTACAGCTACAAACATCAAGAAGGCAGTTTTCTCTACAAGACAGGTGAAGATGTTGCATATATAATTGCAATGTTGGTGATACTTTAAAGCTTTAGGAAAGTTATATCCGGAAGGCACACAATGACAAGGTTACTTTATATATGGTTGATAGCAAGTGCAAATCCAAATATCTCTTGAGTTGCTCTCCAGAATTGATTACAAAACCTCTGTTTCCCTCTAACACTGTTGATAGGAAACCTTTACATCTTTAATGTTTTCCACTCTCGGCACCACACGGAGCACCACAGGGTGCACAATACAAAGACATCATGACACAATGGTCTTCAGTTGTGAATAAGTCGTACCAAGATAAAATATCAGCCTTTCGTTGAAATGTCTTTTGCTGGAAGCCTCAAAGGTCCTTGCAAGCATCTTAAAAATGTATAATCATATGTGGCTTCATGGCAGAAGTGTCAATTCATGGCTAGTAGAGAAATAAAGTATCTTTCAACTAAAAAGATCAATAAGCTCCTACAGTGGGAGAAAGAATCAATATATACAGTATATTATTAATGTAATATGTCATATATGCAATATTTTAAAAAGCACTAGTCTATCTTTCTATGAAAAAAGTTTGCGTTAGTCTTTTAAGATTTTCTAAAAACTATGTATGATAATATACAGTATGATGGTTATTGCTTTTGTCAGGTATGTTTTTTTTCCCTTACCTTGGGGCCTCTCTTTGAGGTTCTTTAACTCTGTAGCACATACAGTATGTTAGGCAACAATCTTCACAGACTGACACACTGTTTGTCCAAACAACCATTATCCAGGTGACATATTAGATTGTATGGGGCTACTGAGCTGGTTGGAATCAAATGTGGAAAAGAGGGACAGAGAGGAAAGACAAAGTACGCTGCAACACCTGGTCTATTTCATGCGGTGAGTTCCTCAGGTAATCCCCACTTATTTATGTCTACTTGTCCCCTCCTAAGCAGTTAAACATAAAAAGGCCAAAAAGAGCGAGCAAGAAATGTAATTTTGTCAATATACTATGTCCGCTTGTACGAACAGTGATATTGGATTTTAAGGAACCACTAGTTATCAGGAACTTGGTTTAACATCTCATCTGAAGAATGGCATCACCTAGAGCAGTGCTCCCATTTCCCACAATACTTGGACACTGGATTAAAATTCTTATCCAGAGAGAACGAGTTCACAAACATCTCTTACAGTAACTTGATTCTCACTGGGGGTCTCCACAGGCTCAGGCTACAAGGGATAAAGCCTCTGTCTGTCACTGCTTTATTAAAATATGTAGCCATAAGATAAAATTAATTCTTCAAACTGGGTCTTTTTGAAGGACTAGGAGTGGTAACCCTGATGTCTTGGATAAATTTCAATCTGGGCTTGCACAGTTGTTTTTTTCCTTTTAAATCAACAATTTATTACATATCTGTGAAGATCTGTTGGCTAGTGGGGATGTTAACATCTGCTGTAAGTCACGCAGGTGGCTGCTTGTCACAAAACAATAGTCCATGTGTTCCCACACATTGGCAACTCTTGGGACAGATTGGCCATCAGCAACAGGTGTGAAATGTTTCTTCAACTGGTATTAACGTTCATAGGGGTCAAGTTGAGCTTGCAAGATAGCTGAGATAGTTGCCAGTAGCCATATCACTCTGCAACTCACAATTGGCAACCCACTGAAGCTAAGCAGGTGTTAGCCTAGTCAGTACCTGGATGGGAGACCTCCTGGGAAAAAAAAATAATGTTGCTGCTGGAATGCTGGAAGAGGTGTTAGTGGGGCCAGCAGGGGGTGCTCACCCTGCAGTCCATGGGTCCTAATGCCCCAGTATAGTGAAAGGGACACTATACAGGACTCCCCTCTACCACCACCAATGTGCAGCATCCATCTGGATGATACAACAGCAGCCATAGTGTGCCAGAACACTCACCACACATCAGCTTGCACAGTGGGGAGGAGAGCAGAGTAATGAAGCCAATTCATAGATGGGGATTATTAGGAGGCCATGATTGGTAAGTGCCAATGGGAAATTTGGTCAGGATGCTGGGGTTACACCCCTACTCTTTTTGAGAAACGTCCTTGGATTTTTAATGACCACAGAGGGTCAGGACTTCAGTTTTAAGTCTCATCTGAAAGACGGTGCCTGTTTACAGTATAGTGTCCCCCATCCCATCCAGGTACTGACCAGGCTCACACGTGCTTAGCTTCAGTGGGTAGCTAGTTGTGAGTTGCAGGGTGATATGGCTACTGATAAGAACAGATTTTTTTTTTATTACGAAAAGCAAACCTTCAAATTTAAAACATAAACAAGTCACAAATCACAGACAACCAAAATACATTTCCTTACATCCAATATTAACTCATTTCTAATTCTGTACAGGAAACTGTTATATAAACCCACCTCACTTGTATGTACCCCATTTTTGGCCAACTTATTCCGTGCTCTCCATAATTCCAGTTTCACCATGCTTATTAATATCCATAACATTAAACCAACCCCACGTGGATAAGTACCCTTCTTTATTCTGTACAATATCATTTGCAGAGTAACTACAAATCTTGGTACCAATTTCTCAAACACTCCATTACACATTTCCCACGTCCTTCTTGCATACCCACATTCCCAAAATACATGGTTTATGGTCTCCTGTTGCTAACATAATGCTCTAGGACATGTTTTCTGCAAGGTCAACTTGTGCCTATATAAAACGTCGCGCACCGGGAGCCGCTGCCAGGCTATGAGCCAGTTCAGGTCCATCAATTCGTGGCTCAATTCTTTGGGTTGTAATTGACCCCATACTTCATCTGGCAATCCACCAACCAACTCCACTCTGTCCTTTGTTGCAGCTTCCTCATACAGTACTCTGTGGTTGGGCAGCAATGCGGCCTCTACTCCATGACGCTGGATCCACACCGTGGCGTGCCGGTAGTGCCATGGTAAGTCTTCGCCGTGGGGGGTCTTATTGTTCCATTTAAACAGTCCTCTTAATTTCCCTGCTAACCAAAACCTCACAAAGTATTGAGATGCATGAACAAACAGCGCTTTAAGAGCAACACACAAAGAAACCACAAATACACAGTTAATCTTCATAGGCAAGTTTGGAACTCCCCTTTCCCCTTTCCGAATAGGTCTAAACATGTCAGTTCTCTTTATATATTCATATCTTTTCCCCCATATGAACCAAAAAGTCTCTCTTATCAAATATCTGTTTAATCTCAATGGTATCGGGTACACTGCTGCCAAATAACTCAAAACAGACAAAACTTCAATCTTGATTACAAGCACTTTACCTATATGAGTTAAACTTTTATTTGACCACTGGCCAAGTCTTACTCTCACCTTTTCCAATTTCTCTAGCCAATTATAGTTGGCCGCATCCCCTTCCTTGAAGTGAACTCCCAGTATCCGCATTGGATCCCTACAGACTTGAAGTCCACTCACTCTATCTTGCCTGTCTCTCCATTTCCCAAAAAATTTGATTTTACTCTTTTCTTTATTCAACCTAGCACCAGAAGCCGCAGCAAAAAGCTCGAAAAGTTGCAGCGCCCTCTGCAGGTCGGCGTCAGAAGACATGAACAAAGTTAAATCGTCCGCATATAGGGCTATCTTAGCCCTTTGTCCACCACCCCCAGGTATCAATATCCACTCCACTTTCGGGTCTAGACACACTTAACGGGCATGGGGTTCAATGTAAATGACAAAAAGCAAAGGAGAAAGAGGGCATCCCTGCCTTACCCCTGAGTTCTGCCAAACCATATTTCCAATATACCCGTTTATTAAGATCTTACTTCCCACTTCTGTGTACAAGGTCTGAATCCACCTAATGAAGGTTGAGCCAAACCCCATCTGCTCCATCACCTTCCACAGGAAAGAGTGGGAGACCCTATCAAAGGCCTTTTCCAGATCCAGATTTACTAACATAAGAGACAGCTCCCTTTGTCCTGTCCAAACTAGTAAATCTCTTATCAATTGTAAGGTCCAACTTATTTTTCAACCCTGAACCCCACACGTTTGCTCTATGCCAATAACTGATGGTAGTACCCTTTTTAGTCTATTCACGAGTACTTTGGCAAAAAGCTTGTAGTCCGTGCACAAAAGTGTCAACGGTCTCCAATTCTTTAAGTCGGTAGCCCTTCCCTTTTTAAACAGCAATGTTAAAATCCCTGTCCTCATCGAAGTCCCCATATACCCCTTTTTAAAAATCTCATTCATAACCTGAAGCAGCACTTCACTCAACTCATCCCAAAACGTAACATAAAACTCAGCAGGTATGCCGTCAACACCGGGCACCTTACCCTTTTTCATGTCACTCTTGACCTCATTTAATTCCTTTAAAGTAAAGGGTTCTTCTATGCTTAACCTCTCTTTCTCTGTCACTGCTTGTGACACCTTTCCCAACACTCTTTGCACTGCTTCCTCTTTTATTTCCTGATCTGTAAAAAGTTCTTGGTAAAACTCAAGTGCCACTTCTAGCATTCCATCTCTGTATGACACCACCTGCCCTGACTGATTCTGTACCCCCTCCATCACACTCCTTCTCTGTCTTTTCCACAAACTATTGAACTGAAATGTTGAACAAGTTTCCGAGTACTGCAATTTATCTATATGTAACTTAAATAGATATTTGCGCGCTCTTTTCTCGTAGTAGTCCCTCAATTTCCTTTTTTGTGTATAAATCTCCTCTAAGTCCACGGGTAAACCTTCGTTGTTTTTCTCATATAAACGGTTCAAACTCTCTTGCAATACTCTTCCTTCTTTCCTTTCCACTATCTGTCTTCTCATGCAGTATTCCCTTGTTTCTTTCTGAATCCACCTTTTAACTGATTCCCACCACTTTAACATGGAAGATTGCCTACACCTTGTTCTTTTCCACATTGTCACCTTCCTCCTTATTACAGTAGTTCCCCATACTCAGCATCCTCTAGGATCTCAGTGTTAAGTTTCCAGAACCCAGTACCAGCAAACTTAATACCAGTACCAGCAATCTCAACCATCAAAATGTCATGATCAGAGCGCCAAAAGGGAGATGTTAACACACTCCCTATCCCCAAGTCTCTGGATACAAGTCATCCTCCTTGGCATTCCTCCACGTGGGGGCAGGTTTCCCCTTAGGAACTCTTACAACACAATCTATCAAACCATATTGCCCTAACAGTTTGTGCATACACCTTACATCCGGGCTGTCCTTATCTTTCAAATCAATATTGAAATCTCCTCCCATAACCATTTTCCTATTCGTTAAACAAAAGGGGGCCAAATTCGCATAAAAGGCAGAGCGCTGTGCCGCCACTGCCGGAGCATACACACACACAAACCGGAAATTCACTCCACTTACCACAACATCGACACTCATTAGCCTACCGGCCACGCCCACTTCACTTCTTTCCACTACAAAGTCGTGGGTCCCAAACAAAATCCCGATGCCCATTGAAGGGACTCCTCCCACACTCCATCTGGAAGTTCCTTTGTCCCATTCGCCTGTGAAAGACTCCACATCCCTGCTATCTTTTAAGTGCACTTCTTGCAAAAAACAAACAGTAAATTCCAAGGACTTCAAATAATTGAAAACTGCTGCTCTTTTAATCCTATCCCTCAAACCCCTTACGTTAAGTGTTAAGATCTTCATCATAGATAAATTGGTTTAACAATATCCTTCCTTTACCCATTTTCTTGCCAGAAATGCGAGCCGTATAAACACCTCCTTACTTTCTTCTTCACTCGTTCCATTTATTACCAAAGCTGTCAGCTTTCCTCTAGATTTTTCCGCTTCTGTTTTTACATTCTTGTACTCCTTTAACATTCTCCTAATACCCCCCACTTCAGCAGGGTATACTACATTCCCATTTGACAACTTCCATGAACTTAGGAACTCCTTGGGAGCAGTCAACTTAACCTTTGCACTCTGCCGACATCTATTTTTTTCCTGTTCAAAACTAGCCTCAACTGTCCCTAACTCTTTCACCCATTTCCTCACTAAATCTTCTAATTGATACCTCTTTACTCGCAGCTCATTAGTATCTTCTGCATAAATCTGAAATGTATTTATTTCACCCGAAATCACTACCGGTCTTAAATTAATACCCTTTTCCCCAAAAACAGACCCGTCAAAGGAATCAGGACAAGCAACAGTCGCTGTTTCGTCGTCCCATCTGCAATACCTCCTGAAACTTGAAGGTACAGTAAACACGCTTCAAACCAACTTCCTTCTCTTTCTCAGCCACTCCACCAGGTAAGTTGATGTCTTGCGTTAGCGTTTGCAGGGATGTATTCGACGATGACAGAGTTGATTCTGACACGCAGGCTGACTCTTCCCACCTCTCTCCCAAGGTAGGCATCAGGATTGCACTGCCTTCGCTTCGCCCAGACGAATCCCGCCTCGCCTCTGGATCTTCCGCAATTCTTCCAACCTTCTTACCCGGGTCTTCCTCCGTTCCCACATGTTTCCTTTTAACGTTACACTTCTGACAAACCTCTTTCCCCTCACCTTCCTCCATTCTGTCCCCCTCACCTTCCTCCATTCTGTCCGCCCAGTTTAGACCCTCCACTGCCTTCTTCATTACCTCTAATCCCGGCGTGTCTCTTGAAGTCCCGGCCTCCTGATTGTCCATAGAAGGACTTACAACCAGTATATTCCCCTGGTCACCTTCTGCCTGGGTCTGCTCTTTATCCGCTTCAACACTCACAGATATGTCCATACTGTCCAAATCCCCTTCCATTGCATTCTCCTGCCTGTTCTCCGGAGCGCTTGAGGCTGAATGCGCCCCCACGGCACCACGTACAACCTCTGCATAGTTTCTCTTTCTTTTATCACAGTCTTTAAATGTGTGCCCCTCCCCTCCACACAGGTTGCACCTAACTTCCTCTGTGCAATAAGCCATCCAATGTCCCATTCCTCCACATTTCCTGCATACCTTTTCCCTACAATCAGCAGCATGGTGGTCGGGTTTCCTGCAGCGTCTACACACTGAAGGCTGCCCATAATAATATAGGTAGCCATTATTAGAGCCAATCGAAAAGGTTGCTGGGGGGTGCAAAAGACCATCCGGGGAATTTGCATCGAAGCGGAGTCTCACTCTATACCGATTCTTCCCTGTCCAAACTTTTTTCCTATCAATCACTTTAGCCCCGAACCCCTGTATATCAACAAACCTCTTCAGGAAAAAGACTACATCTTCCTCTGGGACATACGGGTTGAACATCGTAACCGTTAAGGTTCTCAATTCCCAGGCAAAGAGGGGTTCTATTATATAATCCACAAATGGCTTAACATCCTTCCTCAAATTAACAGTGTTCCATATCTTCATTGCTAGGTCTTCGGTGTACAAAGAAAGATCAAAGATCCTCTTACCAGGAAAGTCCTGCAAGCAAAAGATGTCCTCAGGCTCCAACTTCAAGGCTTTGAACAGCACCTCTTCTTCAAAGGTATCCCTTGAGTCCAGCTCCGTCTTCTCGCCTCCAGCCCGTAGCACAAAACGCACAGCATGCCTCACTCATCCTTCTCGTGTTCTTGATGCTCCTTCCATCGCAGAAAAAAAAGGCCGGAAATCTCCGCCTCTGAATAAATACTTCCAGGAAAGTCCTTGAAGCGCGATCCCTGTCTCTCCCCCCAGCCAAGACCAAGCTGCGGACAAGCCACACACTTGATCTTAGCCAAAACACCAAGAAGCAATGATAGTAGTGATTTATATCATTTAATGAAACTTGGTTAATGATATTCATAAAGTCAAAGTCCTTGACAGGCTTAGAAATCAGTCTTATAAACACCATAACACAACATACTTAATGTTTCTTGGATTATCTGCAGTAGTATGAAAACGTATGTTAAGGAAGCAGTCTGACTCCTCTCTTCAAACATTGTAGAGATTAACATACTGTATGTTTTGGTTTCCGTTCTCCCATTTCCAGATACAGTAGGAAACTCTGAGTGTACCTAAAGCAAACCTGTCATCTGAAATATTTACTGTTTTGATTTTTTGTAACATAAGATTTTCCAAAACAACTCAGAGAGCTTTACAACAGCTTTATTAAAGAAAGCCACAGGTAATGTTGTAGTATTTATAGTAGTTGTAGAATATTACTGTAGCCATTACATTTACCATCATCTTGGTATTCAAAGTTGTGATTATGGTAAACCTTAAGCAGTTCTTTCATTGTGCCATTCTGTATTTATTGCAAAATATTACACTTACTATTTTAAGCAAAATTTAAATTAAATTGACAGATCCTAATCCAATATTAAAACTTTTTTTTGGTTTTAGAACAAAACACAGTTAAACTGTTTTTTTTCCTCTGAAACAGAAATGTCATAAAAACATTTCGCTTTGGACTTTTTTGGTAATCTTGTAAAAAATGATTATTTTTGTAATGAATGCACAGAAAACCTTCAGCTTGAGAGAAAATAAAAGAACAAACTGGTTTGTGAACAAACTCTGTAGTGAAACAGTTCAGTTTTAATAAAGAAAACAAAATCACATCAATTACTGGCAGGTGTACAGTAGCTGTTTTTTATTGTTGTATTGAGCTGATATTTTCCTTTCTTGCCATAATATTACAGACATGCACACACAACAAACAGAATAATTTTCCTTTGCATTCCATAGCCTGGCTGTTAAATGTGACAGAAATGCTACTTGAAAAACATGAAAAACATAAATGCCTTGAGTTTCCCATACCATTAATCCTTTTCTTGCAGAATCTAGTAGGAGCACATCTCTCTTCCACACCACAATAGGCTCTGCCTCAGGCATCTCTTGATCATTGTTGTTCAGCTTTATGACTTCTTGATGCCAGTCTTTACAAAACCATCAACCAGCAGGAATAAACTTCTCACCCAGTATGATTTATATGAAAAACAAATAATTATTTAGATTGTTAGAGTTCTGAAGCAGAATAATATCTACATGATTATGTACAGTACTTCTAACAATGCATAGTATCAATATTAATATTTTAATTATGTTGATCTACCATTTTGCATCAATTAATTTCATGAGTCTCTTTTTTAAGTTTTAAAAGGAGCAAGCTCTGGAAAGCACAACCTGGTATCCTACCTCAATTCTAAGCACTGTATGGGAATTCAGAAAAACCTGATGCCTCAAATCCAAATGTCAGTATTGTTTCCTTGCAACCTTTACTGTGATGCATTAAAAGTGGAACAAATGCTATGGGTTCCAGCACTCACTTGTTGAGGTTTTAATTTATCTTAGTATATCATCAGAAAATGGAGACCTTCACAAGTACTAGCAGTTGAAAATAACAGTCCTGGAGGTTATGTTCCCCCTTAAACCATTTAGGTTATTTTTCTGTTTGTTACACACAATGTAGACTGGAAGAGACTCACAAATAACATAGTGTGCACTTATAAAAAGACTCATACTTTAGATCAAGGTGTATAATGAAGGTTTAATAGATATTCTATTATTCCTCAATTTCCTCAAGGTTCTAAATAAAGATAATACAGTATTGAAAGATATTCAAACAACATGGAAACATTAGGGCTGGGCCTCACCTTAGTTTAGGTCTCTATTGTAATTGTCTATTAATAATTGATTCATATGTTTTAAAAAGTTATAACAGCTTATGATCAGTATTAAGAGTTTAGTTATTATCATCTAATGAATCTACTGGTTATTATTATTCTATGTCCACTATTAATGCATGTGCAATTAATGTTTCTTTATCAATGTCAAGAAAAAGTCTAAAGTGTTACCTTGTTTAGGTACAACACTATTTTGCAGTTACAAATGTTTTATTTAATTGACTTGTCAAACCCGAATTGTGTTAAAAGGGATCATTAATATAATACCTCTTATATAGTTTTTTTTCTTCAGTATAATCTAAAGTGTGAGCCTTTTCACTGGCACTCAGATAAATGATTCGTCAAGAAAAACAAGCATTCCTTATGCAACTAAAGTAAAAATAGATATTTGAAAATTGAAATTCTGTTTTCAAACTGCCATCTGATATAGCTTTACTATTTCATTTTCCAGCAATGAATGATTTGTTTCTAGATAAAATAGATATAAGACACAGATAAAACATTTGCATTTGACAAAAATGAAAAGGTTCTTCAGTTTCTTAATGCCGAGAAATTTGTTTTTTTTATTTTTATTTTATTAGTAAATTTTAAATAGCCACATTTGAAATTGCTTAATGTTCATTAACATTAACATTAAGAATTGATACAAATGAAAGGAGGCTCTTTGGTCCATTGAGTCCATTGGGTAGTTAGTAGCTAAAGAACCCAAGGAATATCATTAAGCTACTTCTTGAAAAAAGGCAGGGTATTGGCTTCAATGACATAACCATGTAGCTTGTTCCATACTCTCATAAACACTTGTGTAAAGGCATGTTTTATGTACACTTCCACATAGTTTTCACTTGTCTCCTGATCATGACTGAAATACTGTACCTCCTGTAATGCTTCTAAAAGCAAGTACAGTACATGAAATGTTGATAAATTGTCCCCCAACAGGTCCGTATTATCTGATGTGACAAACCTCAGTTCTAGAAATCACTCAATGGCAGTACTTTTAAAATCATGAATCAGCTGTTTTCATGAAAACACAGACATTATTGCTTCCAGGTTTTGGTTTGCCTTGTGAGAAGACAGAATCAAGGATCAAATTACAGTAAATACAGTACATTCCTGAATCTTAAATCTCATTTCATCATTATACAATTGATGTGTGTAAAGAAGTAAGGTACACAATTAATAACAATTATGATATATATTCTCACATAAACATATCCCCATCAAATGTGACGTTTTGTCTTATTGGTCCTCCAGACATCCTGGTGTTGTCAGTGTCACAGATCATTTTGCTCAGGTGCAAATAGAAACAAGGAAATCTGTAATTGTTTTGGCGTGAACAATTGGGGAGGGAAGTGTTTTATTTAATGTAATTTTAAATACAGAGACACACGTTGTGTTTAAATCTGTGTCTGTCTTGTGATAGCTCTTGATGAAAGTCAGGAGAAATACAGAGAGAAGCTGTTGTGGTACTATACACAGAGAAGGAGTTCCAGAGTAGTACTGCAGAGACATGTTTTACAGTGTGGAGTGAAAGTGGAGAATTGCTATCATATTACCATGCTACCTACTGTATATGTAAACCACCTAACTTTAAGTCCAGTGGTGATTACAGAAGTCATAACAAATAGGGAGGATTGAAAAATTAAGTGAAAAAATAGCCTTTTTACTGAGATGCCCTTGAGCAAGGAAAATATTTACAAAAGAAAACATTCAACAAAGATACAGCAATAAACAGCTGTTTCTCCCCAGACTTTCCTACTATCAGTTTTAAATGTGTCAATAATGTACTGTAATTAACCAGGGTGTGTAACAAAACACAGAGATACACTCACTGCAAAGACAAGACTAGGCTAGGTTAAAAACCTTAAGTTCTACCCCCCCGCTCCTCTTGATCGAAAGGTACAGATCTAATTAAAATCAGAAGTGAGTCAGAGTCTGTAAACCCACGCCAACACAATATCACCATTTCAGGAGTAAAGGCACAAATCTACAAATCCATGCACAGGAATGGTAGTAAAGTGATAGATTTGTATGTGCACCAGCTTTCATACAGGAGTAAATACTGTATATGTGATTTTCATGTTATCATTTTTTTGGTATTACATTGCATAGTACTAATGTCAGCTGGGTATTTGCTTTCCAACCTTAGGTTTGTATGCTATATATGGAGTATATGGATATTAATCTTGTAATGTAACATATCTTCTTTTGTGTCTTGCCAATAATAAAAGAAGAATCTATATATAGAGAAGGCTCTATAATATTTGACTGGATCCAGGATTATCCAGTGTCCTTGTCCCAAATTTATGTTGACTTCATATATTTCATATGTTTGTCATTGGTACTGAAATACAGGATATATTCTTACAGCTGGAAGGGGGAAGGAAGGAGTTCAATAGGTAACATATATACCTATGGGCCAAAATCAATATGTTTTTCTTTCCTGCTGATTAACTTTGACTTCATGCCTGAAGATACTGCAGTCTGACATATGGAGACACTGTCATCCCTACAGACAACACTGTTTCTATGCTCCGTGTTGTTGATAAAGATCACACATGACAGAAGATGAGCAGCAGAATTGACCTCAGACTCTCACATTCCTGATGAATGCTTCCTGTGTTGTGTTTCATCCCTATGAGTATCCGTAGTCCTAGAGGCTACAGGTTTTTTTTAACAGAAGAAAAGGTTGTGTAAAGCATGTGAAAACTGTGTCAGACATTTATAGTAATCTTTTCATGTGTGGTACATTTACACTGTATATTTTACATTTGTTTTTATTTCTTTCTCTATACCCGGTGATAAACAAGCATATGTTTCCTGCAGTTCCAAACCTGGCAGTGTTAGAATGATGTATCAAACCTCACAACCACAGGTCTATAATAAATGCCCACTCATCCATACTGTACTGTACACACACCCAAACACATACTGTCTCGTTTGAATTTGTATAATCTGTTCACAATGGATATTCCACTGAGATGTTATAAACATTGCTGAAAGGGTTTGTCACACTCTTGTAATGAC